AGAGAGAGCTCTGTTCAAAGATGGTCATTCACAGTAGACATAAATAGCTTCTTTTACTCCTCTTTCAGATTATCTTTCTTCTGTTTCCAAAATGTGAACATTGCCATCCTTGACAGAGTGACCTTTGACCTTTAGATCCAGTTGTACAGCCAAGTCTTGTCCCGTCAAGATGGCTCTTCTATGTCATGTGTTTATAGTATGGCTGTTTGGATTCTGTGATGTAGAGGTGTGGCTGGGTCTGAAGTGGACTGGGATGTCATGCTTGGTGAAAATTCTCATTTGGTTCTAGAACTCAAGACGTTTCTCAGATTAGAGGTGAAACATCTTCAAGAAACTTAAAGAAGTCCATTAACTTAGATTCCAAGCTCCTTAGACTACCATGACCTTGATGACTGAGAACCTACCCCATTAGCCTTTTGCAGGTAGTTGTAAAAATTTACCATAGTCTCCGATAGTATTACAGGTACATTATCCCATTAATAAACTGAAAAAAATAAATAAAAACATTCTGAAAGGTCTTCAATTTAGAAGTATCCTTAGAGGTTCTAAGGTTCTAAGCCTGATCAGAAATGGCCCCAGTGGAAGGGTGGCTGTTTTATGAAAGGGAAACAGAGAGGCAGACAACCATTCACACTGACATTCACACCTATGGACAGTTAATCCAACCCTGCCAACTGCATGTCCTTGGACTGTGGGAGGAACCTGGAGAGGACTAGGGCTGCCACAAACGATTATTTTGATAGTCGACTAGTCACCGATTATTTTTGCGATTAGTCGACTAATCAGATCATCATCCATTGGACATAAAACATACAGCTTATTGCACCAGCAGCATCTGCTCTTATATAACTATCATTAGCTTACAGCTTTAAGTGTTTAAGGTATGTGCTAACTAAAAATAAAGACAAGATGATAGTTTATTAAATTTTAATGAAATTTGCAGATTGTTTCGGTGAAGTTTAATAAACTCCTTGCTATCTAAAATATAAGGACACCGGAGTATATCTCGAGCATCTCAAAGCTTCAAAAAACGCGTCGACTATAAAATCAGTCGTCGACGATTTTGATAGTCGACGTAATCGTGACTAGTCGACTAATCGTGGCAGCCCTAAGAGAGGATACAACAAATGAGAGACAGAAAAACACACAAACACACACACACACACACACACACACACAGAGATATATATAGAGAGAGAGATAGAGATAGAGATAGATAGATAGATAGATAGAGAGATAGAGAGAGATAGATAGATAGATAGATAGATAGATAGATAGATAGATAGATAGACAGACAGACCATAACAATTTTGGGAAAATCAGATGTGGTTGAGCAGAAGAAAAAAAAAATCTGATAATGTAAGATGGAATGAGTCTAAAAAATTAACATGCATTTATATAGAAATTGCTGACAACATTAGTACAGCACTCTATATTAGTCATGTTTTCTCACAGTATCTAGTTTATTAGTTAGCATGCATTTATATATTGTGTATTTATAATGAATAAGTCAGTACAAACTTTAGTAGTAATTATGTCTTAATAGAGCACCTGCATTATGTGCCACAACATACCTCAATGTTGCAAATCATGAATGCTAATGACTCATAAAACAACAAAATAATGAACAAATTGATTAATTAAAATTAAGAAACATATTCATTTATATTTATATATAAATAAACCCAAAGCAATCGTGACTAAAATAAAGTTAAAAAAGAGAACAAAAAACCATCTTGAATCTACAAGAAAAAGTATTGTAGATTCAAGATGGTTTCTTGTGACACGGCTCCCAAACGGGTCTTAATTTATTATTATCTATAGCCTCATATTTTAGCCCTACTTGGCAAAGATGGATGCTTTGTGTGTTTATACAGCGGGGAAAATAAGTATTTGACACATCAGCATTTTCATCAGTAAGGGGATTTCTAAGTGGACTATTGACACAACATTTCCACCAGATGTTGCCATCAAGCCAAATATTGAATTCATACAAACAAATCAGAACATTGAAGTATACAAGTTGAATCATATTAAATAAAGTGCAATGACACAGGGAATAAGTATTGAACACACTTTATTTAATACTTTGTAGAAAAGCCTTTGTTGGTGATTACAGCTTCTAGACGCCTCTTGTATGGATAGACCAGTCGTCTGCATTGCTCAGGAGTGATTCTGGCCCATTCTTCCACACAAACGGTCTTTAAATCTTGAAGGTTCCTTGGGCCTCTTTTATGAACTTTAATCTTCAGTTCTCTCCATAGATTTTCTATGGGATTTAGGTCAGGTGATTGACTGGGCCATTCAAGCAACTTGATTTTCTTTCTTTGAAACCACTTCATTGTTTCCTTGGCCTTGTGTTTGGGATCATTGTCTTGCTGAAATGTCCACCCTCTTTTCATTTTTAGCTTCCTGGTAGATGGCAGCAGATTTTTATCCAGAATGTCCCGGTACATCTCTCCATTCATCCTGCCTTCAATAATATGAAGTCTGCCAGTACCCCTTGCTGAAAAGCAGCCCCAAACCATGATGCTACCACCCCCAAACTTAACTGTTGGTATGGTGTTCTTGGGGTGGTGAGCAGTGCCATTCCTTCTCCAAACATGGTGTGTAGAATGGCTGCCAAAAAGTTCAATTTTGCTTTCATCTGACCATACTATAGTCTTCCAATAATCCACAGGCTTCTCCAAATGCTGTTGCGCAAATTTTAACCGAGCCTTGACATGCTTTTTGTTCAGCAATGGAGTCTTGCGTGGTGAGCGTGCATGGATGCCATGGCGGTTCAGTGCATTGCTTATAGTTTTCTTTGAAACAACAGTACCTGCTGATGCAAGGTCTTCCTGAAGTTCTGTCCGAGTGGTTCTTGGCTCTTGGAGAACTCTCCTGATTATTCTTTGGACTCCTCGGACAGGGATCTTGCGTGGAGCACCTGATCGTGGCAGGTTTATGGTGAACTGATGCTCTTTCCATTTCCGGATAATGGCCCCCACAGTGCTCACAGGAACATTCAGCATTCTGGAAATGCACCTATAACCATTCCCATCACAATGCTTTTCAACGATAAGATTACGAAGATCTTGAGAGAGTTCTTTGCTTTTACCCATCATGAAGTCTTTCCTGTGTGCCTTCTGGGTAATGAGGAGCCTTTATAGGCCATCAATTAGGACTAAAGCAGCTGATATCAATTAGTACTGATAGGGGACAGGATTTCTCTATCAATACTGACAGATTTCAGGTGATCTCCTGGCTTTCTATGTCATTTTGCCCCTTGTTATCTTCATGTATTCAATACTTATTCCCTGTGTCATTTCACTTTATTTATTATGGTTTAACTTGTATACTTCAATGTTCTGATTTGTTTGTATGAATTCAATATTTGGCTTGATGGCAACATCTGGTGGAAATGTTGTGTCAATAGTCCACTTAGAAATCCCCTTACTGATGAAAATGCTGATGTGTCAAATACTTATTTTCCCCGCTGTATAATACTTAACTAGCCGAATGGCCCAAAATAATACACAAGGTCCCTTTTTCTTGTTCCCAGACAGCAAGGAGGTCTGGCCCGGATCTGGTATCAAGCCGGCACTGCTGACCGACCTCTGGCATGATAGGACGTATGTCATCCAGACATGGGCCAGGCCTGGCAGAGATGGCACTGTCTATGTGATGGCATGGCATCGATTGTGGTTTGGGTTCTGTGGCCCAGGCTCATAGAAAACAGGTCTTCCCTGGATCCAGCATCAAGCTGGCACTTCTGACTGACCGGTGTCATGGTAGGGTGTTTGTCAACCAATGTGGGCGACCTCTGGCAATGATGGCACTATTTATGTTCCTATTTTCCTATTTTAGTTAGAAGACCCAAATGCCATGCTGCAGCCAATGTTTCAAGTGCAGGTTTGACAGGTTTGTGAGGAAGCACTCAGTTTAGAGAAAGTGTGTGATTGGCTGAATGTGGCCTGTTGTATGGAGCATTTTGAGTAATCTGGGAAACTAGAAAAGTGCTATATAAGAGTCAGTCCATTCACTTTCTGAACAGAGTTTTGTCATGTTACTTTTGCACTGTTTTGCATGTTCCAGGACATTATTACATGGCTTGATTAAGGTACACATTAGGCCGACATCTGGGGCCAGACCTGAAACTGTTCTGTGCAGTGTGTCTACAACTGGCCCGTGGCTGCACACAACTTACACATGGCCCACATACCGCAAAGAATGATGGCCCTTTGGTGGCCCAGATCAGGTTTGCCAGAGGTAATCCACACATGGGCCAGCACAGGACCACCAGTGTGTCTGCAACTGGCCTTGTGCTGGCCCATGTGTGGGCCACCTCTGGCAAACCAGATCTGGGCCACCAAAGGGCCGTCATTCTTTGCGGTATGTGGGCCATGTGTAAGCACATTGTGTGGGCCAGATCCGGGCCATACCAATTTTGCTATGTGGGTTGATTCAAACATGTTTTTTTTTTAGTAAAAATGTGTTAATTCAATTCATTGCAATGCAATTTAATGTATATATTGTTAAATTTCAACAACAGTTGCTTCACAGCACTGTATATTGTTAGATTATACACACAGGTTTTGTCTTACTTTTATTATTTTTTTTTTAATCATTAGAAACAACTGAATTAGAAGGTAGTTCAGTTTCTTGAACATTGAACTTATAGAGACTAGAGTTTGAGAAATCTGTTAAAAGCTAGTTTAAAAAATGACTGAATTAACTGAACTTCTCAGAGAAGTCATAATTTTCAAGAACTAAACTTATTTTTCTGTTCAGGAATGTGAGTTAATTATGTTACCTTGGCATTAAAAAAAATGTTTTGGTAGTTACAATTCTGTTAATTTAGAGCAGCCGTTACATAAACCTTGCATTGGGTGATGGTCTAATAAATTTGTTTAGCACTGTACCTGATAAACTGTATCCTCCATAGCCTCCAATGGATTGTTTGCTCATCACATCTGTGATTAGAAACAAACAGTAACATTTAGGAATCTGTTATTTTCTTTAAAAAATGTTTTAGGGTACGGTACAGTTGCCAATCTATGTCTGTGTAGGTTCGCAATCATCCAGATCATGATAATCTAAGGAGACTGGAAGGAAAAGTTACTGGACTTCTTTAAGTTTCTTGAAGACATTTCATCTGAGTAACGTCTTCAGTTCTAAAATCAAATGGTGGATAGTCCCAGATAGTTAAACCCTATCGAGGTCGCTTAAGAGGACTATGTATCATGTGACTCATCACACAAGTGTGAAAAAGGCATGGGTCATTATCACTAGAGGTTTGGGGTGAAACCATTGTGGCATCTAACCTCACCTGACGCAAGATGTGAGTGATGGTTGAGTTGCCTGGAAACGGGTCTCCATACTGGATTGTCGTGAATAACCCCTCTGTTCAAAGATGGTCATTCACAGTAGACATAAATAGCTTCTTTTACTCCTCTTTCAGATTATCTTTCTTCTGTTTCCAAAATGTGAACATTGCCATCCTTGACAGAGTGACCTTTGACCTTTAGATCCAGTTGTACAGCCAAGTCTTGTCCCGTCAAGATGGCTCTTCTATGTCATGTGTTTATAGTATGGCTGTTTGGATTCTGTGATGTAGAGGTCAGTGTTTGTGTTCTGACCATTATTCCTAGTGCTCTAGACTGGATCATTTACTAGGTAACCACAACAGGAAGTAAAAGCAGGAGTGTCTATAGCTGTGTCCCAAAACCGGCTGCATCCTTCGGAGGCGCATTTGAAGGCCGATTACGTCACAGCCAGGCAACGAAGGCTGTCCCAATTCGTCGACTCCTTCAAATGCGGCCGACAAATGCGTCCTTCATTTCCCCGAATTTGAAGGATGGGTCGGGTGTGTCCTTTGTGGCCCACCATATCCCAGAATTCATAGCGCGGCCCAGCCAAATTTCAGCTGCCAACAATGGCGGCCGCTACTAAGTTTTAAAATTACTCTTATTAATCTTTCTGGGTCACAAAATAAACTTTTAACATATTTTCAGGCGAGAAAGTAGCTGTGTAAACTTCAAATATCTGCTCGGTTTATCAAGACATCGCATATTTGCAAAAGTGTGCCGACGTTTTCGGAGACGTCTGTTACCCACCGCTCGATAGCAAGCCGGGGGGTTCAATGGTCACTCCAGCCGGCGAGAGCAGCGGACTCCCGGCTTCATCATTTTCAGACCCCCGCTCTTTCGCTACTCAGGTTAAACATGATATATAAGTCACTCGGATAACTTAAAAATGTAATTGTTTGCCTTTTTCTGTGTTTTATTTGTTCCGGAGTAAATTGGTTTGGCTGAGATCAAAATTATTAGATTAAATAAAACTTTATTAACTTTTCCTCGGGATTTTCACACAGCTGAATAAACGTTAAACAGAAAACTGATTAAACAGAAGTGTGAGACGGTCGAGAATTTACGCCAGTGTCCTGTTATATTTTAGATAGCAAGGAGCAGACGGCCGAGTTTATTAAACTCCACCGACACAGCGGTGACGCAAATCTGAAGGCTAGACCGTCCCATTTCACAGCCTCGCACTTCCGGCCTTCTCGGTCTTCGAAGGACCCGGCCCATGTAGACCGCGAAGGCCGGGTCCCCCGAAGGATGCAGCTGACATTTTGGGACACAGCTTGTAAGTGTCACAGAAATGGCTTATGTATAAAGAAGTTTAATAGATGGTTCCAGCAGTTAAAATGTTCTTGCTTGTACGTTTCTGTGGTCAATATTGTAGTTTTGTTACACCGCTATTATCGCGAGGTTTGGGCGTGATAGTATAGGCTGTGAGCCCACGTTTAATAATCACGCTAAGGAGTTCAGCGAGCTATCTGCAAAGGCCTGGTTAGTCTACCAGCGGTACAAGGTATTTGTCATTTGCCATAACTGTATTGTAATATTGTGAAAATTTGTAATGTATGGTGTTCTAATTATTTTATGTTTTAATTTAGAATGCACAAGACTGTAAAGCTATTCTTCTAGGACCTCCGAAGTGGCAGGCGGCCACGAGGTAATTTTTGTTGTTAAAGCACAAGTGTTACTTTTGATAGACTGAAGCGCTTAAAGCCTTTGTGTTTTATGTTTGTAGTTTTCACGGCGTTCAATAAATGCAGCGAAGCGCCCGTCTTGAAGAAGCCGTGCCTGTGTTGTCATTTCGGAGTTACACAGCTTATGTTAGTCATGTGTTGTGGGGCGTGGTCTGCGGTGCTGGACGCACCTGCACAGCATCCATAATCACACCTGCTGTGTTAACCCTTTAGAGCCGATCGGAGCGGGAACGCTCTGTTTTGCGTAACTATTTTTAAATCCCGGTAGCACTGCAACCACGTAAGCTAGCGCAAAAATTTTTTTTGCATATGAAACCGGAGGAGTTGTACTTACATCTTATGCCATCAGCTTGTCCTAGGTCACGGTTTCCTTCCACATAAAGCTTTGCAAAAACTGCATAAAAAGCGCTTGCAGGAACAAAAACATAATATTCCAGAAACACGCTTTGCCGATCCGATCAGCTGTTCGTAACACTTCCTACGTTGGAATAGACGTCAGCGCGAACTTTTGCATTTCCGCCATTACCTGCCCGAAACCGGAAGTGACGTCATTTTCGCGGAAATGTAGTCTTTTTTACCATCAGGGCCTCAGGGCCTATACTGGTCTTTTTAAAAGTTATCTTTGACTTTATGACTTTCTGTGTCGTTTCTGGGATGCTTAGGACTCATATTGCACTGCTGGAAATAGTTTATTTTGATGCATATGCTGCTTTTTTGCAAATTTGCAGTATAATATTTATTTTTGTTTTTCCTGCAGTGTATAAAAATTGGTGTATTTCAAAAATAAAACTATGAAGACACTCAAAATAAATTTCCTGTGGTGGGAAACTATTTTGTGCAACTTTTTTGTATTTACAGTTTTGAGGGATAAGCCTCTTAAATTTCTCTAACTACAAATATATGTTAAAAAAGCAAAAACGATTTTCAATTTTTTTGTAGTTTATTGCACTTTTTTGCAATTTATGTAATTACTATGCACTTAATGAATACATATTATTAAAATCTGGGCTATAATGGTTGTATTGATGTATAGCAACTTGAAATGCTCCCAAAAATGGCTCCACAGCATGTAAAAATATAATATAAGCTCTGGCGGACTTGGTTCTATGGTAGGTCTTAAAGGGTTAAAACACAGTGAATTGGGGTTTGGGGCTGAGTTGTAAGCTGCGTTGAATGTGGTGTGATGTGCAATATAGATGGCTCTGAACGACAATCTCTGGACCCGCTGTATCACACTGTTAGGGTGCCTGGGTCGTCGACCCAGTGTTTTGTGTTTTTGGTTCTTTGATTTTGTTTATTTCATTATATTATGGGTTATAGGTTTATTCTTAGTTCAGGTTTTCTGTGTGGGTTTTGTTAGAGTTTTAGTGTTCTGGTTTTCTGTCTGTTATCCATAGTTGCTGTCTCCCCGGGTCAAGTCTGCATCTCTTTGTTATGTTTCCTGTTTTACTTTGAAAGTCCTTGTCTCATGTTAATGTCTCTGGTTTTGCTGCCTTTGTCTCGTTAGGCCTGATTTGCCCCAGCTGTGTTTCCCTCCTGTTTCCCATTCCCTGATTGCTACCTCTGTGTATTTAAGCCCTGTGTTTCTCTTTGTCTGTGTCGTGATCTACCCTCATCTTGCTGTGTGTTCTGTTTGCGTAAACCTATTTTGTATTCTCAGTTTTGTTATCCTTTTAAGTTCAGCATTAAAGCTGTGTTTTGTAGTTTACGTTTGTCTCCGGAGTCTGCACTTTGGGTCCTTTCCTGCCTGCACACAGCCATTTCATAACACACACCATATCATGTTTTCTAACAGTTTATTAGTTAGTATAGGTTTACTTATATAGTGTATTTATAGTTATTAAGTTAGTACAACCTCAAGCAGTAATTACATCATATTAAAGCAGCTGCAGTATGTGTGGCCCGGATGCACTGTCTACATTGGCTGTCTCTCACCCTTTTTCAACCCTCTTTCAGTAAATATTCTCAGTTGTGGTTATTATGTGTGAGTTTTGATGTTTGAAGTTTAGAACTTTTAGTTTCTTTTCTTAATTTTTGTAATCATAGTGATGCCTCTGTTCCCGGTCTGCACTGGTTAGTATCTATCAATAGTGGTCCAAGGAAGGAACAGTGGTGAACCAGCGATGGGGCCATGGGCGGCCTAGGATCACTGAGAAATGTGGGGAACAAAGACTGGCATGTGTGGTTCGATTTAACAGATGAGCTACTGTGGCTCAAAGTTCATCCTAGCTCTGATAGAAAGGTATTACAATACTCAGTGGATGGCAGTTTGATGCGCATTGGGTTTTTCCTTAACTTGACAATGACGTTAGTCTACTCACCCAGGCGACTACTAGTTAATCAGTTAATCCAACCCTGCCAACTGCATGTCCTTGGACTGTGGGAGGAACCTGGAGAGGACTAGGGCTGCCACAAACGATTATTTTGATAATCGACTAGTCACCAATAATTTTTTTGATTAGTCGACTAATCAGACCATACATCCATTGGACATAAAACGTACAGCTTATTGCACCAGCAGCATCTGCTCTTATATAACTATCATTAGCTTACAGCTTTAAGTGTTTAAGGTATGTGCTAAATAAAAATAAAGACAAGATGATAGTCAGGGCATGGCAGTTTGATGCATATGTTTTTTTTCCCCTTAACTTGACAATGACATTAGTCTGAGGGCTAAAAGTAGAGATTATGAGACATTTCATTTATTTCAGTCTTTTTGTGTTTGTGATACTCACCAGATGAACCGCGACTACTAGGAGCCAAATATTGTCTTGAAAAGGACTGATCTACACGGGGCTGCCATCTCTGTGGTGTTTCACCTTCCTTTGGTTTATGAAGCACATCTGTGTTCTCTCCTGGAGGCTTTGTGACCACCATAGATGTGAGAGGAGTCACAAAACTGTACTTCAGTGACAGCTCCAAAGCCTCCTTCTTTACTTTCTCTTTCTCCGGTCCCGATAACTGAAGCCTGTGCCACAAAATATTAAATAAATATGAACATTAAGAAAGAATTAAATGTGCACTTGATAACTTCCGCATGTCCTTGGCCCATCTTGAGTGTTTTTAAAGTACTGCTGTATAGGTGGAATTTTTAGAAAATGGAAAGATTAGATTAGATTTTGTGATTCTAATCATAAAAATTGATAAAACAATAATTTGTGTTTAATATTATCACACAAATGGTGACAACAGTGAGTTCATGTGCCACACTTCTTTTTAAAGCTGGTCCTCATTTCCAGATCAACGGAAAAATTTACTGATACATTCAATAGAATGTAAAATATAGGTTTTTAGGTCATCGGCTGCCTGCTAATATGAAACAAATTTTCAAGACAGGTTAGCCTCAAACAGAGCTATGCAATTTGAAATGTGTTTTGTTTCTGTAATGAATCATTTCAGTCATGACTTGTTTACTGAACTGTGTTTATGGTAGTTTTCATGATAGAATCTTTTACCATTAGCTACTTTCAGCCACTCCCTTATTCACAAGCTGGTCCACATTTTATGATCGGGCAGCTTTTTATCATCATCATCACCATCATCTTTATTTATAAAGTACTTTAAAAACAACCACAGGTGACACAAAGTCCTGACATTAGAACTAAATAATACAATTAGATGAGGTATAAATAAAACCCAAATAAAAGAAGGAAAAAAGTAAAATAATTAATTAGTTAGTTAATAAATGGTTTAATTCAAAGAGAAACTAAGTCTCACTACAGTCAAAAGCCAGCTTTTTATGCAGCTTTTTATGCCAAATACCCCAAGGGATTTGTGACTCCTCTCAGAATCAAACCTGGGGTCTTTGCTCCTTAGAAACGTGTATAAAGCTGGTCAAAATAAGGAAATTACTGTAAATATGTTACCTCAGGGAAATTATTAAATAACTTTGGCCTTTTCTAAAAGCCCAACTTTATTGTACATTTGACCATTAAATAAACTGTTAGGAACAGTCAAATGAGGAAAGATGGCATATATCATACTCACTCTTTGTCTAGTAGCTGCTTAACTGTGAGGTACGCCCAAACCCTCTGGATACGGTCATCAGACACTGTTCCAGTGGATTCCACGGTTTTATTTGATTTAGAGAATATTATTCTTCTATTACTCTGTAACAGTTCAAATGCAATGTAATGTCAGTATAGATACAGGGAAAACAGTTTAAGAAAATGACAACTGATGAGTCCTGCAAATCTATTTTTACCGAAATGGCCACAACTTGAGGGGTGAAGGTTTCAATATTGTTATCTGTGATCTCACCGGCCACCACAATCTCAGAACCATTATAATACTGGCTGAAGTTAGTCTGGGTTAGATTGGTCCCACCAACATAGATCATTGTCACGTCTGTTAATAGAGGTGTGGCCACCTCTTCATAGAAACCCTGTTGATATACAATGTGGACATTATACAAACTATTCTTGTTTTTTCTTTCAATCCTCTGCGATTTTTAAATCACATCATAAGAGTATTTACTGTATAAGGAAAATTACCTTCAGCTGTAAATCAGCATCAGAGTCTTCATATATCCGCCGTGCCACACCATTATTTTGCAGCGACATTTTCTCAAGGAACTTAAAATCAACATCAAAACCAAAACCAAGACAGTACAGTGGGAATTTGCCTGCAATAGCTTGTCTTACATTTGACTGAATATTCTCCAGGTTTGTCACCCCTGAAAAGATGCAAGATATACCCAGATAGAGTCAGAAATAACAGTCTCAATAATGCTAAAAAAAAACTTGATAAAAAAGCTTAAAACATATAACTAAATTAAATACAGTGTTTAATCTAATCCCCTATTTCTTGAAGTATTCTTGCACATTTATGTAAATGTGTGCTTTATTACAACCTGAGGTTGGGTCTCCATCTGTAAGAAGTATCAGAATAGATGCTGAACCTTCTCTGCTATGATCATTCAGCATACGTGCTCCTTGCAACACTGCTTCATTTATATCTGTGGCTGAAATTCAACAACAAACAAACAAAGTTTCAGGCCAGACATTTTTCTGTCAAGTGTTCATATTCCATAATATATATGTTTACTGCAACTCCTCACATCCTCTAGCTTGTATATTGCTTGCAAAGTTTTTGGCGCTTTCCAGGTTTTTGCTGTTGGCCTGAACGAGTTCTCGCTTCCAGTGCAAAATGCTGCCATCAAAAGTGATCAGACCAAAGTGATCATCTTCTGCCAGATCATTCAAAATGTGGATTAATGCGGTCCTAGTCTGGGCAAAAACATGTTACATTTTTAAAGTGATTTAAACATATTGCATGTTTTAGAATTATAGAGTGAAAAACCACCACAAAAGTGTTGATAAAAAGTTCTTTCCCTTTTCCTGATTTCATATTTTTTCCATATTTGTCACAGTTGCATGTTAAAGATCATTAATTTAATTTTAACATTAGACATAGATGACCCAAGTAAATGCAAAATGTAGTTTTTAAATGATCATGATTTAAATTAAAAAAAATTACCTGTACCTGTTTCCATGTGTAAAAGTAATTGCTAACAAATATCAACAAACAACACATCAAGCCCTAAACTAATGAATCTTGAGAACACCTGAGAAATAAAGTTACTGAGATATATCAGTCTGTAAAAGATTATCTGTTTGTGCGTTGAAGCTCAAGCATACTAAAATTATGCCGCACGACAGTGGTCCAAAACACACAAGGAAGTCCACCTCTGAATTACTGAAAACAGAAATATATGAGTAAAACAAATAAACAATTCATGTCAGGACTTAAATCCCTTTAGATGCTTTGGCATGGCCTTAAACTGACCGTTGTAAACCCTCAAGTGTGGCTGAAAGAATTCTGCAAAGAAGAATGGTCCACAGCAATGTTAAAGACTCAGTGCAAGTTATCTCAAAGACTTGATCGTCTTTTTCAAATCGAATTTAATTACTGGAATCCAAGATAACAAAACAAACTGGAAAAACGTGAACTAAGCAGACAGGCCGAACACATGGCAAGAAAGGAGGGAGAATGTGACGCTGAACAGAGGGAAACACAGACACTAAATACAAGAGAGAAAAAGGACAAAGAGGAAACACCTGAGAAACACAGCTGGCAACTAATGAAGCAGACAAGACGGGAGAGAAGCAAAACAGAACATGACACACAACAACAGGAGACTATCAAAGTAAAACAGGAAGTACAGGGAAAACACACACACACAGGCAGATATCCAAAACCAGAAACACTAAGTAAACTCAGGAGCATAAGCATACTAAACTAAACTAAGAAATAAACGATTCAGAGAAGATTGAAAAACCTCAACCTCAAAACAGTAAAAACAAACCACTGGGTCAACGACACAGGTAACCTAACAGGCGATACTTTTGGAAAATGTTTTTTCCAAAATAAATAAATTCATCATCATTTAAAAACAGCATTTCGTATTTACTTGGGTTGTCAGTATCTAATACTAAAATCACATAAATCTAAAGCACGTTGGTGTGATAAAGATGCAAAAATCAGGGAGGAGGGCAAATATAGGCCCTTCAAAGAATTTACCTGGAGTATTTTTCTGCCACTCATTGAGCCACTCTGATCAATAACAAAGACGACATTTTTTGGCACTCGAGGAAGATCAGATGGAGCAAAGTGATGAACAAAGTATCCGTCAGATTTCTAAGGAGCAGTGAGAAGAAGGTTCGTTGGTCAAAAGATAATTTAAGGAGCAGAAAAATATAATATTAATTCAGCATTTCTTTTTCTCTTTGTGTGTACATTGATAATTGACCAGGTTTTACCTTGATGTGTCCTAGTCCATTGTCCCTGTTGACATCATAAATAATAACTAGATCTCCATTCATACCCTGATCACTACAGCTGTCACACATCTTCTGTTGGTCAACTGTTGGATAGAAATACACCCACGCCTGGAAACAGAATGAATTTAATTCTTTAGACTCATGAGAGACAGAGAGGTCAGTGATTTTAATTTCTGTTTACTTGATAAAAAAAAAAAACTGTGTCCTTTCCTTCCAAACCTTTGATTGCATTCATCTGAAAGGTGAGAATGTACAAGCTCAATTTCAAAATATTCTGCACAATGTGTAAGATCTTAATATAAACAAAACTTTCAGACAACTTACACTCCATATTAAAGAATAAAGGTCAGCAGCTTAAAATTCAGTTTTCTAACAAGTCTAATTATACTAAAAAATATTTAGGTCTGACTGGGCATAAAAAGGAAGCGAATGGATGGATGGATGGATGGATGGGCATAAAAAGAGAAGCGGGGAATTTCAGCAGTAAAGATGGTCTCACCACTTTCTCAAAGACTGTCTAGGAAACTAGACAGTTATAATATGATATATTAAAGGATTCAGAATATAGAGACATATGTTTTTACTCAAGGACCAAATGTTTGAATCAATATTTTATCATTGTCCATTCAGTTGGCACCACATGTAAAATAGACGAGACTTTGTAGTAGCAATCCCTGCATGAGCTCAGGAACACTTGAGAAAACCATTGTCAGCTAATATGGTTTGTTGTTGTATACACAAATAAAAAAAAAAATCAACAAGATTGTGAAACACTTATTTCTTATTTAATTTCTTATTTGAATTTCTTATTTCGTATTGAATGTGGACTGACGTGATAAGAAATGCAACTGCCATGTACACATGACATGGTTAACTTGTGTATTTGTACATTTCTGTGTAGCTTCCACCATTTAATCCTTGCCTCTTCCTTCCCTCGCTTCCTCTTCCTGATTTTCAAAGGCATCCTACAACCTATCATCCTATCCTGATAGTATCTATTTTATTGTCTGTTGTGACAGGACTTAGGTTCACTTAATGCTTTACAAAACTGAGATTTCCAATATACGGTACCTCTTTATCTGTGTGTGTTTTAGTGATGGCATTAGCGAGGGCTTTGGTGCTCAGGCCTCCTTTCACATCGATGAAACTGAAGCCAGCTTCTTCTTGAATGTGCACATCCACCTGGTATTAAGTACAGTAAATATAAGATCTAGTCATGGCCTACCTCAGCATTGTTCTCCTAAACAATCACCGAACAGATAGCAATAAGACAGTCACCTTGAAGTCACTGACAGGCTGCATGGGTCGAGCATGAATTTGCAGCTCGTACTTGCCACGTGTTCGTTTCATTAATTCCTCATATGTGAGTTCAAAAGTGACCTTTTTGTGAGCAGCCACAGTTACAGAGGTCTTAAATTCCTCCAGAGTCCTTCCTACAGAACTATAGCAGAAACAATAATCATTTCCTTAAATAGAATGTCACAGCAGGTTATTGCTAAAATGAGAACATTAAAAAAACAGAACAAAAAACCCCCAAAGTGGGAAGAGGGGACATCTTCCCACACCCTTGTTTCAAACACCCTGCCTGTGATGGGGGTATCCAGGAGATTTGTGGTGTGCTTTGGCTTTGTCCCAGTTGGTCCTGTTGGACTTTCACCCTTTGGCCCATGGATCCCCCCCAAAAAACTTGTTTTGCGTGACTGAGAATTGTTTTTTTTTATGTCAAGTTATGACTGAACTCAAATACCTGACAAGTCCAGCACTTTCACCACGGGACACAGCTTCAGAGTACTGTTGCTGAGCTTGCTCCTTAGCTTTCACAACACCATCATAAACTTGGCCATCGATAAACCTGGAGGACCAAGAGAAGCCCTGGTGTAAATACACACTATTGAGTATCCTGTAATATGTTTTTCAGTATAGAATTCTTTATTTGCTAATGTCTCTGGATGGTTACACATTATTTTAACTTCACACACATTCGAAATTTACTGATGAAGGCATTCTTGGGAATCCGAACATGGAATTCAATTTCCTTTGACTCGTTCATACGATTGGCCACACGGCTTGTGATGACAGTGGTGGCATAACGACTGGTCACTGTGGAGTTTATGTGAAAGCTGTAGATGTCCCAGTCATCCTGAGCAAACACAGGAGGCACATTTTTAAAAAGTGGCTTAGGTGATCTTATTGGTTGACCAAAGGTCAGATGTAAAAACAGATGAAAAACAATGTGTTGGTGGATGACATCAGTGAAATCTAATTGGTTTAACTGCAGTAACACCCCATTCTTTTTATTTTTCCTCTAGTTTTAACTATTACATTCTTAATATTACATTCCCTAAAGAGTTGATTTCCCAGACCGACTGGGAAACAGAAGTTTCCAAAGTCAGAATAATATTACAATATTTAAGTTAAAAAAAGAATAGACAATAAATATTTACTTAATGGGACTTGGCATTTTTAACCTTAATTTAGAACTTACCAGTACCGTTATCAATAGCAAGCTTTAACTATTAAAGTTTGCTCAAATTTCCTTTTGACTTCGACCCAGAGCAAGAATAAAGTAAATATGCAAACAGAGATTGATTGAAATTCCTTCAATTCACAAGACATTATGCGATCTTACTGTATATTAGTTAGCTAAAGACTTTAACCTTTTATTTTTGCCTCCTCAACATCCGTAATGCAAACACGCACACACACACATTTTTTTAGATTTTGGATCCTTGAAGTGGTTCTGTGGCCCTTTTTAAGTATTATTATCTTACCTTGTTTGGCAGTGTGGAGGCCAAAGACAGCAGCAGTCCAAAGAGAGTGATTTGCACCACACTTCTCTCCATTATGCCTCCTACCAGAGTGCAATCAAGGCAGCTGAAACTGCCTTTTAAACTCAAACAAGGACAGCACTGCTGTGTAAATATTTTTAATATTTAAAGAGCAAACTCTACTTTCTGTCCTCTTCTGCCAGCAATAACAAACACCCACACACACAAACCACTCCTCCAACAAAGTGATTTTCCTGCAGTTTTGTGAGCTTTAATGTTGACAGATCGGTGCACTTTACCAGGACTTTGTTACCACAACAATCTTTTCATTTGTGGTAAGCCACAGTGTTCTGATAAAGATACATGAAGACAATTTGACTTTGTAATTATTGGTGAAACTGAAAGAATGCATTAAATTACATTTTCGATAAGACAAATCAGTGTTGTGCAACATAAAAATCAGTCAGTGGTCTCTGAAGGGCAGATTCAGCAGACATAAGCAAGCAGGTCATTGTGAGAGGAGAGACAAGGGTATAGTCAACAGTGCTGTCACTCCAAAAGAGACACCAAAATAGTTAATATATCTTTGTGTTTAGGAGTAATAATAGAAATCGACGATTTTTCATGTAAAACAAAGGGGGGACTAGGAAAAAAAAGTTTGGGAACCACTGCGTTAGATTACTAATTACTGAAAAAAGTAATGGCTTTCCCATCACTGGATATGGGGTTGTAACGTTCGGTGAGCCCCTGCCATTTTCATTCCTAAATAAATAGATTATTTTAACTCCTTACAAATAATCACAGTGCACCTCATCTGAACCTTTTCCTAGGTTCATACCTAGTTGAGGATTGATACTTAGTAACATCTCAATAACATCTCATTTACATTAAATTGTAAAGATAAAACCCCAGATAAGGTAGATCAAATTAGTGCTCTGCGGATGGATGTTCCAGAATACTTTTTTGTCTAGTTTCAGACATGTCAGCTAAGTTGGACAGGTGTTGACAGTAGACTATTGATCTTGGCATGTAACTCTTAGTGACAGAACTTTATAACAGCGGTCCCCAACCTTTTTTGCGCCACGGACCGGTTTATGCCCGACAACATTTTCACGGACCGGCCTTTAAGGTGTCGCGGATAAATACAACAAAATAAAACTAGTACCGGTATCGAAAAAAAAAAGATTTATTCTTAACACACGTGAAAAGACCCAGGAAAACTGAGTTAACGCTAAAAACGATAACAAAATAATGCTGAAAACCCTGAAAACCATACATTTCACACCTGAGCCTCAACTCTCGCGGCCCGGTACCAAACGACTGACGGACCGGTACCGGTCCGAGGCCCGGGGGTTGGGGACCGCTGCTTTCTAAGGTCACACATCTGTACTTAGTGCTAAGAGCATGAGTCTTGGTCATTATATTGCAAAATTACCTTCCTGCTGTGGTAATTAGTGATGGTAAATTTGATTCTTTTTACTGAATCGAGTTTGAATGAGTCACTCACCAAAATTAATCGGGTTTTTTGAGTCCTTTCAGTCACTGAGTCAGTTGCCCAGAGAGCGCAAAAATGTACATTTTCACTCAAACTTAATTTGTTTCTCTTTTCATATCATACTGCTAAGATGAGTGATTGAAAAAGAAAAACAACAATTTTTATACAGCAAAAAAGAGCAAAACATTTTAATTTTATTTTATTAGTATTTTCCTCAAATGTGTCAAATATATATTTTCTCATGTAAATGTCCACTGAGCTGTGAGCCAGAACATATAAAACTGTCACGGTCTGGCTGGGGCAGACCGTATGTGTTGCAGAGGAGGACTCAAACGCAGACCAAAACGTGGTGCGGATTAACAAAACAAGCCATTTATTGAGGCTAGCAACGAGGGTACAAAATAATAGGGCATCATTGAAAACTAAACAATAACCTAAACTGGGTGAACTAAAACAAAACATGAAAAACCTTAAACATAGTGAACTGACATGGGTACCTGGAGCAGAGACATGAACAGCAGGGTGAACAACAGCAGGGTGAACAACAGCAGGGTGAACAACAGCAGGGTGAACAACAGCAGGGTGAACAACAGCAGGGTGAACAACAGCGGGGTGCACAGGGAAGGCGCAACAGCGAAGTGAACAGAGAGAACAGACGACCTGACAAAGAATGACTGAAAGCCCACGGACTAAATAGACACAGGAGGATAATGAGGGAAGTGGCAACACATGGGGAACCAGCTGACACATGAACAAAATGACGTCACAGTGGGAGAGTAAAACTGAACACGATGAACACAGAAACACCAGACCTCTTCACAATAAAACAGGAAACATAATGAGACGTAGACATGACAACCCGAACTTGACAACGTAAGACACAGACATGAAACACATGAAGAGCAGGGGAGACTTAACATAGTTGGAAACACGAGGGGGAAATAATAAGAACTAGAAACACCTAGGCATGATAACAAATGAACTTAGGAAACCTGAAGGGCTTACATAAACTAAAACTCAAAACGCTGGGTCAACAGACCCAGGATCATGTCATAAAACATTGCACGGCCACGCTGTCCTAATTATATATTTAAAAAAAATAAATGTAGAGGTAGGAATTGCAATTAATATGAATCTCAAAGTATTCACAACATTCCTGAACAGAAATAGGCCTCTGCACCTGGGGTGAGGGTGTGGCCATGAAAACAATGTGACATGCCATTGGATGTTGGGACACATAATAACATGACGCTAAGCATCGGCCAATGAATGTGAACTAACAACCACAAGGTCGCGGGTATGGCTGCACTGTAGGAAAAAATCCTAATATAAAAGTATTTTACTGTGCATTTTACAGTTTTGTTCTGTTCTTCTAGAATATCATTAAAGTTACGTAAATAGACTGTGATTTCACATTTCAAATGTAAATTAACGTTAAATCACTGTAATGTAATAAAACATAATTTTCATGATTATTAAATGTATCTGTCTGTACATATGCATATTTAGATTGTTAAAATACATTCACAAATGTATCATGATTTCACAAATATCTGTCCGTTATTTGAAAGATTGAACTGTTGAATTCAAATGTAATGCTATGGAAAAGTATATAACATGATTCCTATAAGCTTGTGTTACATCACATAAGTATTATTATCATTGCTATTTAGAGCGATCGTGGCTCAAGAGTTGGCAGTTCGCCTTGTGATTAGAAGGTTTGAGCGCCCGCGCGGACACTCTCGGTATTGTGTCCGTGGTTAAGACTCTTTACCTACTGGTGATGGCCAGAGGAGCCGATGGTGCTCCTCCGTCAGTCTGTCCCAGGGCATGCGATCCATTATTATTTAAACCAACTGTTAACTGTAGATTTCTGTACATTTACATATTATGATTCATATTCCCACATTCATTGACCTTGTTAATAGGTAATTTCATTGTTTGATCACGTTAAAATGTTCCTAATTTAATGTCTAAAAGCACTTGGAAAAGGCAGAATCCCATGTAAAATTAGCGCAACAAACTCTATTTTCATTACTGAAAATGACTGTATTTTCATGAGAAAGTTATTTTCTGTTATTTTACGGTAGTATTTTGGCACCCCAGCTGCCGGAATATTACCGTTTTTTTAAGATGTTTTTTTTTCCTATTTATAGATGATTTCATTGTTTAATCACATTAACATGTTCCTAATTTAATGTTTAACATCACTTGAAAAGGCAAGATCCCATGTAAAATTAGCACAACAAACTGTATTGTCATTACTTGACGATATTTAGAGAGGAATAAACACACATCAGCCTTCGGCCATTTTGATGAATGCATACGCCCCCTAGAGAGCGCTAACTTTATTAACAGCCACACAAATGTAAAGCACACATCAAACATAAATGAACCATTTGACTGTCTCCATAATTGAGAGCATTTTCTCTTTTTATTTCAACACTCTTATTTCTCTTTCTGGGTCGCAAAAAAACTTTTAACATATTTTCAGGTGAGAATGTAGCTGTGTAAACTTCAAATATCTGAGCCGACCGACACATCGTCTTCAAACCATCGCAGTCTTTCACTACTCAGGTTAAACATGATATATAATTCACTTTGATACAGGGGCGATTTTAGCCCATTTTTGGGGGTGCTTAAGCACCCCCAAAATGAATCAAAGCACCCCCAAAGATTTCTTACTTTTTTTGACAATATTTGCTGTTTGTGTGACACACTACTAAAAATATAAAAAGCATACAGTACTGTACTTGTTTGAGACGTAACATTTTAACAAGTATAGATAACCCCCCTCCCAAAATGGTTTGTTCCAGCTCGCCTCCCCCCTACTCTGGCTCTAGCACTCTTGCTGCCAGCGATGGTGGCTGAGACGCAGCGGAGCGGAGGTGTAAGTGCCTGACTTAAAACAGGACATGTTAGCTGCGTTTAACCTTCAGTTACTCTTTATATAGTTAGGTAGGAGTCAGACCATGTTTCTTTTTAGCTGAAAAGCATTACACCAGGTAACCTGCAGTGTTGAAAACGTGTTTTCC